AGGGTACATGATCACAACAAGATCATGCCGCATTAATATTGCATGTTAACACAGAGTATGTACGTGAAGATTAAATCAAAACAATTCAAATCATATGTATCATCATACATATGTTTATTTTTATATCTGTATGTGTTTTATTTTCCATCTTTTATAAGTAATTCACATGTTAGTAAAGCATATTATGGCTTTTATGTTGCTTTGGCAGTCTCAGTGCAATCGCATTCACGCAATGTTTGATAAATGTTTTCTATACTAATGTCATTGGCGAGTAAAATTCGTTCTTTTTTTATGAGAAAAGTTGCCAAAGGAGCAGACGGGTCATCTGATGTTAAGTGAATACCGCCGCCCATGAACATCGGCTACACCCGAGGCTTACAGATGCGTTGACAACCTTTAGAAAATTGGGCTCCGGCTACCTCACTCACCAGACGAAACACGAAAGTATTTGTCATACTTTCACTTTACGCTGGTCTTCTGCGAGGTCGTGGTACTTACCCGGACGGGCCTGCCCATTCGTGCAACAGCCGAGGCTGCTGCGTGGCCCTACCACCGTAAAAGTATTTACTCTATTTGTTAGCATAGCCAGCTAACAATAATAAGCATAGTGCAATAAAGTAAAGAATGCGAATATAACAATATAATCTATTAATGTAACGACTGATCGTGAATTACTTGTTTTTATTAAAACAGATATCATCCCTGTTCAACAATTTCTATACTAATATTATTAAATAAGTCAAAGTGTTGACCATTATAACGAAATGTTATACATTTGTCGTATGTGCATTATTTATACGTTCGCCTTACCTAATTTGTGACACAGCACATCTAACGTAATTTAAATTTTCCCGTGCTTGTTTCAAAGTGTAGGTGTAAAATGGAGAAGAGAATATCTCCACGAAATAAGTTGGGCAGTCATTCATAGGCTTAAGTTTGAAAACTGGCCGAATTGGACCGCAAACGGGGTCAAAAGCGGTCCTTAAGTGGTGGGCGGGCCCTGAACACCCCCGGCGCAGGGCTCTCCCATAAAGCGGGGAGTCGACGCGACGCCGCCTCAGTACGCTTGTCTCCACCGGGACACGAGCTCGGGTGTTCCGACAAATCTGTGACGTCATGTGACCGTGTCCCCTTAGTACGCAGTTGGGGCTTTTTAAGTGTGAAACGGTACGTTTGCCGAGTAACAAGGCGAAATTAAATGTAAGTCAACGGTGTTGCTACTATCTTTTTATTCATTGATCTGTTTCTAAATATTTAAATGGATACCTGTATATGTATAATTTACCAGCTGACTCGGCAAACGTTGTTTGCCATATAAATAATTTATTGAAAAAAAATTTTCGGAACGCACCCATAACATGTTTGACAGGTAGGAACAGTTTGTGTGGGAAAAGGGAAAATAAAATTGTTGCTATTTCGATTTTTCATGCATTTTTTCCATAATTTCTCATCGTTCAAACCTTTCCTGGACTGCCACAAATATTTCAAAACCAAAATCAGCCAAATGGGTCCAGTCGTTCTCGAGTTTTAGCGAAACTAAAGAACAGCAATCCATTTTTATATATAAGATTAGTTATAAAATTAATTTGTTTTATTCAAATCCAGTAGAGTTTTCACAACTTGACCCTTCTATATAGAATGACGTTTTAAAAAGAGTAACGCTTCAAAAAATACCACAACCGTCCATTGAATTCGTTCAAATACATTGAACTGCTTATGTTAAAAGTTCTACGACGTAGCAGCTTTCATAGGCACACATTAATCTTTAGCTTACAGTCTGTTGTTTCTAACTTTCACGTTTTAATAATATTCACTTGATTACGAATAAAGTTACGGTAATTGCTACGCAGTGTGCAATCGCTCGTTAATATTTCCAGGCTCGTAAAATTGATAAAAATATTTTAAAACAGGACCGAGCAACTCCAGACTATAATTGTTTAATATGATAATACAATAACGATGTAATAAATTGTACGTTTGTATGTAATAGTGTAGTATGACCGGACATTCGTTTAAATATTGATAAGACACAATGCTCTTTGCGTGAGGTACGTTGCAATAAACATTGGGTATCTTAACCCAAAAAACCTTATTACCGGGTTACCTATTGACGTTTACTTTTAAGACTGAATCTAGGTATTTTAAAAGCCAGCGAGAGCAATCTAAGCACTATCCGAATGTAAAATTCAATTAATTAAGACCGTTAAAATCTTCCCGCTTAATCGGCTAAGTTACATGTAAATAGCACAGGTGGCCCATTTATTTCCAAGCTGTGGATTTATATCAATTCCTTGATTACAATCTTTAGCCAATACTCGTATTTTTAAAAATACGCCGTCTGAGTGAACATATTTTCAGGCAAGAAGGCGACAAAAAATATACTTCTACTTATTCGTCACTCTCGCAATCCTACAGAACAGCAAATTTTCGGGGTTTTAGACATTACGATAATGACGTTCTCCTAGTAACGTTTACATCCTTACTTCCTTATTAATATTACAAAGACGAAAGTTTGTATGTTTGTATGTTTGTAACTCTTTCACGCAAATACTACTGAATGGATTTTATTGAAACTTTACAATAATATAGCTTATACATCAGAATAAGACCTAGGCTACATACGCGGACAATTAGCGAACGCACATTAATTAGCGTAGGGCTGCAATTAAATATGAAACACGGGACTCACAGTCGCGTTCGCATTAATTCAGAATGCCACGATCCGCCAATCCACGGTGCGATCGCCGTGAATTATGCCCCGATACCTTCTTTACAGAGGAGTCCTTTGCTCCGCAGTGGGACGTTTATAGGCTGATACTTTAATTTATATACATATTTAATGTAAGACAGATAGTCTTTCTGTCTGAATGTTACGCCTTCAGCCTAATCTACGCAGACATAGTCGCGGGCAGCAGCTAGTAAAAAAATAAAGTAAAGTAACAGCCTATATACGTCCCACTGCTGGGCAAAGGCCTCCTCCGTATAGAAGGTATTCGGGCATAGTCCTCCACGAGCTCCCACTGCGAATCAGCGGACTTCAAATATCTTCGAAATATTTTTTTAACTATTTTAATTTTTTGTAGTTATTTTTCATTTATTTTTGGTGCAATACAGACATTGAATTTTTCGACTTTTCTCTAAGCCTTTCTTATAAACTTGAATCTCTCTATCAAAAGATCTAACGTGCAAACATCGGGAGCGATGTTATTTAATACTATGTAAAGACGAAATTTCACCGCATATTCGAAGATGGCGGACGAGCTAAATTAATCAACAATTAAAAATCTAATAACGCTACAACATTTACGCGGAGTAATTCTTAAGCCATTGTGTAGCTAAATAATAACAGTTACTTCTTCACTTTATACGAATATAACTACATGTTTCACAAATTAATCGACAATTAAACACCTATTAGGGCTAAGATATTTTCACCGAGACATTCTATAGCCAAATGATAGCAGTTACTTCTTCGCTTTAAGACAACCCAACAAGTCGTTCTACAAATTAATCAACAATTAAACACCTGTTAGCTCTACAACATTTGCACGCAGTCATTCTTTAGCCATTGTGTAGTGCGGTCAAATGATACGATCGGTACCCGCCGCCACGCTCCGGCGAGCGACACGTGCCACCCACAGGTGGCCGCGTGGCAACATACGCGGACAGTTAGCGAACGCACATTAATTAGCGTAGGGCTGCAATTAAATATGAAACATGGGACTCACAGTCGCGCTCGCATTAATTCAGAATGCCACGATCCGCCAATCCACGGTGCGATCGCCGTGAATTATGCAACGATACCTTCTTTACAGAGGAGTCCTTTGCCCAGCAGTGGGACGTTTATAGGCTGATACTTTAATTTACCAAGCATCATGACGATACCTGAACACTTTCGAAGTAATAATAGGAAAAATATGTTTCAAAAATATGTAAGCCTGCCAATCCGCAGTGAGTTCACGAGGTGGACTAGACTTAGATTTGATATTTAGTCTACCCATGCGAAGCCATGTACAATATAAAGGCCATTTATATTGTACATACAAAGATCCAATAATTATTTAGACGGTAATTTTTATAAGCGCTTATTTGTCCTAAAGTTAACAATTTGTGCCAAAAAAAAAATTGATCAAAATGCATGATATCACCGCAAAATGTATAGGACGATACTTAAACTAATTTTTAAATATTAAACGGTATTACTTATTATTATTACTTATTAATTATACAAGATTTTTTCTAAAATTAATTGTTGATTTTCAAGAAATTTGTTTGTTGATTGTTTGTTTTTTTTTTTTTAATTATAAAATAAAAGTAAATGACCGAGGCATTCTCACATCAACGCTAGCTAGTCCAATAAATGAAAACGTAAAACTAAATCCATTTAAAAAGGAACAACATTCTTTTCCATATGCCATGCTACGAAACCGGAAATCACAGGCCGGAAGTGGAACGTGATAAAGTTCAATTGACTTACCGTTACACGTCAGTCACGCGAAGTGCCAACGCAAGGGGTGGATTAAAGCACATTGAGTTGAAGCGAACTAACCAAATACAAACATAATTTGATACAGAAACACGAAAATTATTCAAAGTAAACCAATTTGATAATCCACCCATTTACCAAAACAAGTTTCAATTAGGTACACTTAATTATTAAGTTATTCTTTTTAGAATTTTTTTACTGAGAAGCAAAATTTTATTACTTTCATATTCTGTATATATTATTATCAATTTTATATACATACTCTCGTAGCATTAACAATAACAATATAATGATATATGAAAATAATGCAGAAATTGTTTTCATCCTTTTTTCTTTCATGACCGCTTTATTGTTTTTATGTTTTTTTCTATTTAACTTGTTTTTATTATTTACTTTAAAGTTCTTTGTTATATTCACTGCTTAATTGTTTTTAAGTTTTTTCTTTCTATTTAACTTCAGACTTGTATTATAAATAATAATCATATTTTAAACTCTCCTTTTTTCAGGTACAAATATGTTTAACACGGTCTTCGAAGAGTACTGCGACTTCAACGACAGCATATGCAGCAACGATTCTGGTTTCGACAGGTCTTATGCCGGCTCCCTCGCGACACCCAACTCACTGAACAGCACACCTTTGAAACATGACGCATCAGATCTTGGCATATCGCTAACACCCACTAAAGACAAGAGCGTAAAGAGAAGGCTGTTCAGCGATGAATTCGGTTACACTTTCAACACGCAGATAGAAGAAGTAAAAGGTTTCGATGATAGTCTTCTACCCGGCGACAACACTTCTACACCAGTTAAATCGAAAGAGAAGAAACCCAAAGATCCGAATAAACCTAAGAGGAAATACGCCAACGGAAAGAACAGAGTGACAAGATGCAAAAGCCCCACTCAGATAATGCGAATCAAGAGGAACAGAAGGATGAAGGCAAACGACAGAGAACGTAACAGAATGCACATGTTAAACGAAGCTTTAGATAGGCTGAGATGTGTTCTACCGACATTCCCCGAAGACACAAAATTGACTAAAATAGAGACACTGAGATTTGCTCACAACTATATATTTGCTTTAAGCCAGACGTTAGAGTCGCTAGACAATATTAACTCCGGCCAAATACCACCGGATAACTTCTCTATGAGTTACGATAAGCTACAAACTGTGACAAGTGATAAAATTAACAAGGACGCATTCAGAGAGATATTTTTACTACCAAACAAGACTGAGGAGTATAACCCTGACGGCAGTTATAGAAGTTTCCAAGGATTCAGCAAGCCTTTTCCCAACGGCTCGAACTTCTTGCAAACCCCCGAGGGGGTGTTGATTAACGTTGGAAATGTTACCGTATCTGTTAACAATAAAGGCGGTAATTGCATAACTTCGACCACGGGCAGTGGTTTCTTCACTAACCCGTCCAGTTTCGGCGACGATGTGTTCCAACAGAACTATTACAGTCAGAAGCCTTTCACGCCTTGTCAAAACTACAATGAAGCCAGTTACGAATCGAGTGTGCAGAACGAGCCTGAAGAGTATTTCAATCAGAAAAACTACGAAATTTTCAAGAGCGCCTTCGAAAGTGCAAAGAATAAGAAGCCTCCGAAAGTGCAAGACCACTCCTCCTTCTATGGAGATTACGCGAACAGTATGTACAGTTGCAATGAAAGGTATTACACGAGCGACAGTAACTACACGCAAAGCCATTGCTATTTCAATGACCAAAGATATAGGGATCATTACAGGACCAGTATTGTGAATACTCAAATTTGATGCATCATATAGCAAGAAATCTAGTCACAATGTAAAAAAAAAACTATTTTTATCAAACTATTTACAACTGTAGCTTGTAATTTGTAAATTATTTGACAATAATATACGATGCGCCGACAAGGTTAGATTTACCAAAGTTTATGTCTAGTCATACATTTATTTTTATTATAAGACATAATTGTGAAACAATGCGAAAATATATTTTTATACTTTTTCGAAAAGCGTACATTTCATTATCCTTATTATAAGTTAACTTTCTATAGCGTACAGTTTTACTGGTAACAAATTTAATAATTAAAATAGCAAAAGAACTAATCAATAGTAGTTGCTAATTGTAATAACTCCATTTTATTTTTCAAGTTAATACATTTAATATTTACGAAATAATTAAATTAGATAATAAGAAAAGTCAAATCACCTTTTAGTTTTAAAAATTTTATAAAAGTTAAAGGAGCTTGCGTTTCTCAAAGTCAAAGTATCTTTATTCAATATAGGCTCAACTTAAGCTCTTATTGAACGTCAAAAAATCTACCACCGGTTTACTAAACTAGACCTGAACAAATAAGAATCGGCAAGAAACTCTGCGGTCTTATTCTTTTTGTTATTTTTTTATTGTGATGCTATTATACAAACTGATTTAGATATAAAATCTTGCAAAAGAAGAGTCTCAGCAGACTCTCAGAAAGAGTCATTTCCACACATCCTTGTCCTCAATGTATTCTTGGACATTATAGTAGGCCCTTGCCATTAAGGTAGCTTTTACAAATTGCTTGTTTCTAAAAAAGTTATGTAGTTTAAGTAACACGCAGAAATTAACTTAGGCTACATTCGATATATCCTGTGGGACTATCGAGTAACTTTTTTATTTTCGGACATACAAATAGATTTTATTAGAAATACACCTCTACGAATATTTACTCTACATAAAGACTACGACAAAATTGCTAATCCTAAATTGCGATATCCTAAAAGATTTCACATGAAACCATTATACAAACATTAAGTGAAAATATTTATTCGGGTTTATATTATATATACATAACACTGCTGGCATAGAGGCAAAGTTTACTTAGAGCAATTGCACTCCTGGTTATCGGGAACAGCCGTTACATAGCTAAATGTCTAGTTCTGTTCTCTGATAGGAATATAAAGAAAATGCTTGCACTTGATTTAGCGCCGTTGGAATAATAAAAGCGCGCGCAATGAATATAAATCAAATTGGAACAAAGCCGTTTAAAGAGCGAAAAGTTGTGAATGCTTCTACGCACCCCTGCGCAGGAGCATTGTTCGCGATGCATTGAACAATCGCCACTTTTATGATGCTATTGAGCTTCACGACTATGCACTCTATTACAATAGACGTACGATGTGCTTAGAAGTATTTGTAATTTGGTAAGTTAAATATGGGGGCACCCGTCGTATCGGGTAGCGACGCTTAATGTTTACTTTGGAAATTCGTTACGGCCTATTTTATTTGGTACGTCTGCATTCGTCTCTATCAATCTCGTGTTGTATTCCATTGTTGATATTTCATTGTGATTTTCACTAGGAGATCGTGGTTATGGCCACCCGACATCTGCTCTCTTGCGAATTCTTATTTTAAAATAGAATAAATATAGTTTTTAGGATCTAAATCGATTATGTGAATTAAGATGTCGATACAGAATTGTTTGTTTGTTATTGTTTAAGTAGAAGCTCTCATTTCTCAAACTAGAACGAGGTGGACATGTGCAAAGATATTTTGATCTGTGATGATAATTCATAATTTCCTTATACTATCTTCAGTTATTGCAACCCGTAAAAAGATCCGGATGTTAAATACTATATAGGCGGTAAATTTATACGGTCTGGTTTAGGAATTCAAAAAATAGGCAGCTAGTATTGCGTCCCTAGAATATACGATAGTCCATTACAAGGTCACGACTTTGATTCCTTGTATTTACGAAAATGTACATATTGATAAAAGAAACAATTTTAGACATATTAAAATAATGAATACTGTAATTCCCGACATTTTGCACTCTTCTACAAAATAATAATATACTCAATGATGTTTTAAATAAAGACTACGAATGTGCATACTCGTCGGCGTTTAAAAATTGTTACGCTTTACATTATATAATATACATAAGTGAAAGTGACAGATGACATAGAACTTATACTTATGATACGAAAAGAGATAGCAGTCTATCGAATTGCAATCTAATTACACCAATTGCCGTAATTTGAGTACCTTAGTTTCGGTACGCTAGTGTCGTTAGTACTGCCTTCACTGTTATTTTTTTGTTTATAGTTTTTTATAAGTAGATCCAACATTGTTTTTGCTTTCTCGAGGGCTGGTCGGAGGGCTGCAGGGTCGGACATGACGACAAGGTTTTAGAGAGGATCTTTGAGCTGTGAGAAAAAAGCAATGAATAGATCGGACTGGAGAGATTTACCTGACCAGGCTAAGACCCAACCGCGGCTGCAATGTCTGAGATAATGATGAACAGTTTTATATAAACAGTTGTGAGATGCTAATAACCTAAATATCAAAAAATTTAATTCATGGTCATATACGCCATCGAACCACGACAATTTGAAAACAAACGTTTTATTTACCATGGTTAAAGTTTATAGTTTCCGTACTGTTTTATTTTAACACCTGTCGGAAGCAACAATACACAACAAATCAATGCCATGCGAGTATGGTTGCGAGCAATTATTTTTAATCTGTCATTTGTTTTACCCGCGCAAACAGGAAATTAACTTCCGAGAGCGTAAAAATTGATTTCATGGGGAAATTAAATCGTAAGGGTGTTTGTATTCCTGTTATATGACTCTAATGTCATCTGATTTTGCTTTTACATTTTCTGTGGCATTATTTTAGCATTGGAAGCTTAAACTTGTAGTGTGTATTTGTTTAGATATTATGAAACTCAGGACTTGTTCCAAAGAAGGTTAGTGTTGCTTACTTTTGGTTAAAAGGTGATTATATTGTCCCATAAATAAATATTGTTTATTTAACTAAGCATTTCGTGATCAGATGATGCGTCATTACTGAAAAAGTAGAAAAAAAATGTTGTTATATGTAACCGTTTATCATCGTTTTGTATATAGATGAATAAGATTGAAAAATAATATAGACCTCTTTATTGCATTTTACTTTAGGAATCATATAACCTTCTGGTTGTGACCGGCAGTTTGGTTTTTTCCAAATTTATAAAAATGTCTGTGTAGGGCCAGGCAAAGATCATCACTATTGCATGGAAAAAGTCCATCCAGGGATTGCTGCACCTGCTGTCTTCGGCTTTCTTCAATTATTTTTTTTTTAAAGTAACAGTTTTATTAACTTCCACTGATTACATTACTTAAGCTAACGTACTTTATTGTAGATAACTACAGTCGCGGGTTGGAATTATAGATGGGGATGCGTATTGTGATTTCACGTAAAAAAATCCAAACGAGAAGCGACCACATGTTTGATATCGTATGCCGGCAACTAGCCGCGGGCAAATTGCTTTTCAGTTTGCCTGTCTGTTTGCTCGTCGGCCCTGTTTAAAATTCATCTGAGTGGTCCTCCCCGAGGGACAGTGTTTGCTCAGTCCGCTAAACCAATAGTGGAGCTTGTTGATTTTACTTTTTTAAATTGAGTCATCTTTAGGGGTCTTTCATTAACTAAAAATCAATTGAGTTGCTGTGGCATATTACTGTGTTAACTAAAATATTATGATTGCTATGAACTCTTAGGTATTGATGTCAAAATGTATTTCAAGCAAATTCATCTGGCCGCGTTTGCCACTAAGAAAATAATATAGTACACTGCTAGTAGGTTAGGAAATGAACACAATATTAAGTTTAAAAATAATAAAAAGAAATTTATCTTGATATATTGACCACTATGCACAACACACATTCCTAAAGTTACTCTGTTTGATGTTTGTGGGGGTTCGAAATTGACAGATTTACTTTAAAAAGTGTACATGACCTAGACATAAGCAATTGCGATGTCGAACATTCCATGTATGTCACTGCTATGTAGCAGCGAACAGTAGCAGCTAATCCAGGGTCAAAAGAGTTTTCATATTTTTTTATTTTTTTTATTGGCTTAAATAAGCCGACACAGAATTGCTGGCACATAAATAAGGAATATTTCAAATTGAGAAGTACGATATAATATTCATCGCAGTTCCGACCGCACCCTCAGCACTAATAAAATCAATTCCTATTCCTCTAATACCCGAAGATGAATTGGCAGCACCGCAAATTAGCTCAACAGCTGACATTCTGTATATTTACACAGTACGTGCAAACAATAATGGCAGTTCACTCTCCACAAATAAGCACTACAATTGCATATTGTCGAAAATGGGGTGTCTCTACAACTTATTTAGAGAGACTCCTGGATCCAGTGAATTATGTTACATCGTCGCTTAAAAGCATCGCTGTAACGGCTCTTATTGAACTGGTCGTATGAACGACCGGTTTAGTGGTAAAACTCTGCATTTGACCGTGAGCAAATATTGTTAATAAATAATTTATGACAGCGATATCCATGATGCATCTGATGTATTGGTTTTGTCATAGACTCTGTAAATATTCGATATTGCTTTTCGAAGTTTGTGATTCGCTTGCACACGATTTGTTACTTTTGCAATGAGCGAGTTATTATATTGAATGATGCACTATTTCCTTGCAAATGCCAAAGTGTTGTTCGTTGTGGCGTTCTAAGGTGGAAGCCTGTGGACGTCTTCCGCCTGATGAGATGATGATGACGACTATTTCCATATAGTAAAAAACAATGCTTGAATTAAAGATGTAAAGTGATAAGGGTAATTACTAGACCATTTTTGTGTGTAACTATCACATTCTTGTCTCTGCCACTGTCTTTTGTCAGGCAGTGGTACTTCCCATGACGAGTCTGGCTATTTGTGCAACAGAAGAAGCCGATGCGTGATCATACCACAGGATTAGAGATTCTAATGCAATCCTCACCATATTGTCTACCACCTTACCGA